TTTCGGGCTGTGCCCGGCCGGGCCCCACGGGCCAAGGCCCGGCCACCAGGCGCTCGCCAACGGGCCCCTCCCCCAGGCCTGGCTCCAAGGTGGGGCCCCGGTGACCCTAGTCCAGGCGAGGGAAACGGGACTTTGATTTTTAACTTTCATTTCAATCTCATCAACTTTTATTTCCTCTGCCAATTTTGGTTCAATATTTACAAAAAAGTCATTAAACCCATTTACTACATCATTCATGTCTTGAATACTACCATTATTTTGTTTACTTTCATTAGAAAACTAAGGATAATTATTGTTCCTCTTTCCATTTTTTATTATACTATTTAATACCTTCCACATTTTAGGAACGATCTCAGTGATGAGCAGGTACCAGGAGCAGACTGGTACAGACTAATAGATCCGCCTCCAATGGCAAGTCTCACATAAATTAAGAGACCAATCTATACTTTTAATTAAATCTACATTTTTAATCCTGGTTTAATCCTGGTTCTGGTAGCAGAAGGCTACGCTGAGCAGCAGGTTGCTTCCAGGCAAAATTTTTCTAAGACAGCAGTACACATGAATAAGGTGAGGCAGAAGATATTGGGAACGACCAGAAACCAGCCAGGTAAAGGGCGTAAACAACTTTCTAATGCGATAGATGACTTTCAACTTATCCGACAATGCCTCATAAATCGGTACATGCCCTCAAGTGACCTTCAAAAGGAATAGGAAGCACTGAGTGCAGCTGTGAATTGCAGTGCTATATATACGCTAATTTGCAAGCTAAAATTCATTAATGTTGAAATTGGTGGGGCTCTAGAGTTGGAAGTGAGGGGTCCCTCCTAAATAAGATAGTAATTATGTAATTTTCTGCAATTTGACATATGTATATGTAAAAAACATTTACTAACTACTGCAGACTTAGTAGGGGCTGTTTTTTTAACTTCAGCAAATCAATTTCTATAGCTAAGTAATCTCCCACGGTATCCCATGCTACAGTAAATACTGTATATTTATTTAGAGACGTTCATGTCAATTATTTGTGCTGTTATGGGTTTTGAAAATGACTCACATATTCACTTACTTCTATACTAACCCACAATTCAAATTAATTAAGGGAGGGTTTATATCGTTTTTTATGATAAAAATTTCCTCTGCATCTTAATATGGAGATACAAAAACGGAAGTTAGTTTTTTTTATTATTATTATTAGACTTGTATACGGTAGGTAAAAACTGACAGCTGACTGAAATGCTACTCACGTAGCCCTCATTAGCTGGTGAGCCCGAAGGCTAAACAAGCGAAGTGACATATGGCTAACTTTAGCTTATACTACAGCCAACTATCTTGCAAAGAAAAAATGCGGTTATATTTTACCTCATTCCATGTGTACTTGCTGTTACGAACTTGGAAGAAACCAAGAACACGGGAAAGGGGGTGTGCCTTTGTTAGGAACGATTTCAGTGATGAGCAGGTACCAGGAGCGGACTGGTACAGACTAATAGATCCGCCTCCAATGGCAAGTCTCACAAAAATGCGAAACATTCGGGATAATTAAGGCGCTGATGTCATGCATAGCAAATTGACTTGTGACGTGATACTTTTTTATCTCGAATTCTTATATAGAAAATCTCATTATTTTGGAAATCATAACACACAAAAATACAATACGAAAACAATTTTGAAATGTAATGGTTTGTACTGTTTTGCAGTCAAAGTATGCCGTTGTTATTTAACGAAAAAAACATTTACTAACTACTGCAGTGCATGATGGCTATGATATTTGGAGGTTACTTACATTTCATCACCAGCAACTGTGCTGCGACTAGTGTAGGCAGACCCCAGGAGTGAATTGGGAGGGGGGGCGGATGGCCCATTTTTACCCCAGGGCCCAGTGTACAGTTGTTCCGCCACGGGCACATGCAGAGGAGGGGGACTAGGGTATCTGAGCACCGGCCCCATTTGTCTGAACAATTGAATGTGCCCCTGCTTTAAGGTTCTAAGTGCCCCTTTTCTATCACTGAAGCAATTTAGTGAGGAGACCACCACCCCCCCTCCCCCAGCAAAATAAACATTGAAATGTCTCTGCATGGCACTGGTGATGAGGTTAGAAGAATACATTCGAATACATTTAGTGGTGTCTTTTTCCTCTAGCTTATCTGTTATATACAACTATTGTATACTATTTGATCCTCTGTCATGAGAAGGAAACTTGGTAAAATTTTGGGGAGGGGGGTGGACCTCTCATGATGGCCCTGGAGGCAGACACCTCTCCATTTCCCACCTTCCTCACTACTGCCTGTTACACTCTGCCAGTGGGTGGGCACCGGATCCTCCTCTTCCTCCTTTTCCTCTCCATCCTTCCTCTCCTTTTCCTGTCCCTCCCCCTGGATCTTTCCTCTTACTCTATGAGGTAAGACCAGTGCTCTCCCTGAAATATTCTATAAGATTATTTTATTGGAATAAATACATATTCAATGTTTCATTACAATACTGTGTAAATATATCATACAAATGAATATTTCATTATTTTTAATTAGTGTGCTGCTTTTTTCTGAGATATAATTATATAGTCTCATTCGCTTGCTCCATATATATTGCTCCAAGCTTATCCAGAAGCATTGCTTTCTTTTGGTTGCTTTGTGCCTTATAAGGAATCTCATTCATTTTGTTGAACAATAGTATTCATTGTCTTTCTTTGTACTAAACACCAAACAAAAAAGCACGTCTTGGAACGTTTGTAATCAACAAGTAGTCACAAATGCCTACTGCATCATATGTGTTTGAGTTAAAAAATATTGTAACAAAGGTTATATACAGTACTGTGCAAAAGTCTTAGGCAGGCAAAGAAAATTATGTTTAGATTATCCTAAAACTATGATATTATGCCTGTCAAAGTGTGTCAGCTTAGCCATTTCAGAACCTCTGCTAAAATCACCCCAGTATTTGCAGTGACCCTCCAGTGCAGCCATGTATTTTTTGACTTGGCCACTAGCACACCTCATACAGCTGGTCAATCTGTCACTGACTTTTTAAACCAATTCATTTAATTATTTAATTGAGCTGTTGGTGAAATTTAACAAAATCGTGGAACGGCTGAGGTGCCCCTGAGGAGAAGTTTGGGAACTGAAGCGGTGTTCATCTAGCCATCCAACTAGATATCAGTAACTTTTTAGAAAACAGAAGAAATTATTACTAGTTTTTATTGTGTTTGCCCATGTTCTAATGTTAAATTGTGTTTTTTGTTCTAAGCCAAAGTACACTTGCTACCCAGATAAACAGCTTTAAACATTTCTTTGAACTGCCTAAGACTTTTACACAGCACTGTATATGTGAGAACAAAATTGAAAGGCAGTGTTTATCTTTGCAGCAAACAGACAGATAGCTGGTAAGACTTGTAGGGGTAAAAAAACGGTATCAGTAGAAGTCCGGACGCTCCTTCTAGGGCATTGCTGTAAGGACACACCCTTCAGTAGCTTTCGTTACAATATATAATCCAAAAATAAAAATAAAAGTGTTGTTTAATGTGTCAGGCTTTACAGGGTTATTTAAGTGCTGCGGCAGTCGGCTCAAACTCACGTAGCGGCAAAATAAACAGCAGAATTTTGTTCCACAGCATGTTCCCCTAATGTCATTATTAAATCATAAGCTGTGTACTGATTATATCCTCTGTCTTGCTTCTATCCAAGATGGCTCAGTGCCCAAAAACCATCCTCTCCCTAACTGCAGAAGAAGTTCTTGCGCTGAAAAAGGGCATCAACTTCAAGAAGAACCAGGAGGAAGGGAAATGTTACATCATTTACAAGGATGACCGAGGCCTCAGGGCTTGCAGGAACCAGTGCAAACACCAAGGAGGACTCTTTATTAAAGACATAGAGGATATGGATGGCCAGTACGTAGTAACAGATGGGGGAAAGAATCAAAACATAAACATATAACTCCAAGTTATATGCATGTTTTAAATCCATGTAAAATTACACACTGTTCATATTTATATTAATATATAAGCTTTTGATAATTCAAATTTTACTACTTGCTAATTTACTACACACTTTTGGATTTGATTTTATATTTGATATATATTGATATTTCATTCAGTGGGCCAAATTCACACTGTAGTTCTCTGGAACAGATTAATTGAAATTTTGATTAATCAATACTAATAGCGTTGTTTCTACCTGAGTGTTACCTATTTGGTTTACCTGTGTGCTGGTTTGTACCCACTTCCCACAAACAGAACAGTGCGATGTACGAAACACTACTGGAAGCTGAATGTCTCCACAATGCGATATGTGAATCCCCCGGACAGCTTTGAGCAGGATGAGCTTGGTAACATACCTTCCCTTTGTAATACATCTTTCATTTTATCTGTGATCAACTGTTAATTGATTTTCATATTTAGGGGGATGATTTACAATACTTACGTTCAGAAGAAGAACAATAAGGCATCTGTCTTAGTGGGTCAGTCGTAAGAGTTTATAAGCCGGTGCAGTCTCTAACCATGGCGTGAATGTCAGTTGGGCTAAAGCCAAATATGTTAAATACACATCCTTGAGCTAGTATAAAGCAAAAGGAATTGCAGTCATTTAGTAAACATTAAAGGGTTAGCACAATCCAAGAACATATGCAGATAGGGGCAGGTAGTATTAGTGTTCCAGATGGTGTAGTGAGGCATGCGACTTTGGCCATTTTATACAGTGGTACCTCGGTTCTCGAACTTAATCCGTTCCGGACTCCGGATCGAATCCTAAAAAAGAGTTCTGATCGAATTTTTTCCATAAGAAATAATGGAAAACCAATTAATTGGTTCCCGGCCCCCCAAAATTATACCTAAATATGTTTTTTTTAGCATTTAAACACAAAATGAACAGGATAAAACAAGAAGAGCATTTTTTTCTTAATGGCTTCCAAAATGATAAAGATATTTTCCCAACATTACCCCTGTCCTGCCCCAATCGTCCGCTCTTTCCGTGTGCCACATCCCCTCGTTAACCTCGTGTGGGATCCCCATGTGATCAGCTGTTTCTGGTTGTTGTCATTAGTCCTCTGTATCTGCGTTTCAGTTTGTTTCCCCAGTCCGGTCATTGGGTGTGTTCGACTTGCTTACAGCGCTGGATCCTGACACAATGCATTACGGTTAGATGCATTGCGACCTCTCACCCGGCTGCACAAACTGGAACCGCCTCCGTGACGACACACCTTTGCCCTTATTGGCTGAAGAGTTTAGTTACACGCATGACGTTTGTATCCCAGGCAGTTCGGATGTGTAATCTGCTATTTCTCCAGAATATCACGTAAAGCAGTGAGAACTGGTTTTCAGTTAAGTTACCTGTAAAATAAAGTTTAAATAAATGACATAAATGCTCTAATAGTACACGTAAGTTAGTGGTTTATTTATTGCTAGTTACTGTAATGTTGCGCTGCTTTATTTGGTTAATCGTCCAGCCTGTGAAGAAGGCATTCAAGTAAGAATTGCATTGTAGTATGACTAATTTCCTGTTGCGTACAATTTATATTAGGTCAGAGTTCACGGTTCGACTTCTGATATTCAGATCGAGTTCTAAGTCAAACTGGTTTGTTCGACTTTCAAGAAATTCGAGTTCTAGGGAGTTCGAGAACCGAGGTACTACTGTACTTTAATATGGTGTAGAATATACCTCAGTGTACACATTTTAAGTTACTTGGCTAGATTTTTCGAAGTTACATTCAGGTTGGGCTATATCCTACCTAGTCAGGGTTAAATCAAATCCACCTCAATTCCCTGTCCCATTTAGAAGTTATTGCTAATGGATTCAATGAGCTTTACGGTGTAGGTCTACTGTACCTCATTTAGAAATAGGGCTGCCCAACCCGTTGGTCAGTCTCAGTGATTCCAGGTCAGTCACAGGAGATGATCAATGGATAATGCTTTATTTCAGTCCGCCTCTTTTTAATGTTCGTGGGCATCTACCTCTGGCACAATAATGTATAGGTGAGCCCATGGAACATCTAATATGGGTTGATCCTGCTCAAATTTTACACTCTAAAAAGACAGAGGCGCCAATCTGTCACAAAATAATTTATTTAGCAAACAGAAAAAGCATAAGAAAACACAGTACCAGCCGAAAAGATGAGAACACAAAAAACAAATTTCAGATCTGGGGGAGGCACACCAAAGGCAACATCTCACTTCACGCATGGATAAGTCAACATACCAGCCCAAATCCCACCCCAAACTGCCAGCACTAAGGGAGACTTCACCAGCTCTCTATAGTAAACACACTTAAAACAACAACTCAAGTCTGAATCAGGCAGTGTCAACCAGCCGTGTCCAACAGGTGCTGTCATACAAGCTGGGGATCTGGTCTGAGTCGGAGAAAGTACACTGCACGCTGGAGAGAAAAATGAGCATAAGCCAAAGTTAGTAAACAGTTTACCAAATGCATTTAAATGCATTTACCTCTACATGTAAGTGGTTGTCCTTCAGAAAGGCATTTTATCGAATTTGTATATGAGGATTATTTATCTTTCTGAGGAACTGCCTCATTATATACTTTGAAAGTGTGATTACTTGGTTAATTGTTATATTCTGTGTACAATATTTTGCTGCATGAATTTTAACATGTGATAGGTATTTGCTATCTAATACTCAGATATCATTTGGGTGGATGGAGGTATCGAGCTGGTCGAACTCAACCCCCCAGATCCTTGGCTTAGTGACCCCAAGATGACAGAGGAGCTCTTGCCTGGAGAAGTGACTGTAAATAATGCCTGCAGTGACCATATTGACCAGTTTGGGTTTGGTGTGGCTTGGGTCTTATGCTTTTTTTTTTCTCTTACAGATCACATACATGACCCACGCGTGCATGGAGCTAAAATTCGGGGGCAAAACGATGTTCTTTGACCCCTGGCTTATTGGCCCAGCATTTGCTAGGGGCTGGTGGCTGCTTCACAAACCTCCAGAAGACGCCTTTGAGAGGCTATGCCGAGCCGATGCCATCTACATCAGCCACATGCACTCTGACCATCTAAGGTGAGGAGCAGTTTCTCGAACTTGAACTTGAGTGATATGGGTTCACAGTTTGGCTGTGTAGGTGGTAGGTGGAGAGCATTGGTTATAACAGCCGCTAAGTGTTATATGAGCTCTTTACTTAGTCTTTACTTAGTCTTGCTGAAATAATCTTGCTGAAATAATCTCACATGAAATTATATGAGGAACTCTCAAACACACGGCGAAAACCTCACAATAAGTTTTGAAGTCAGTCTTTATTACTTTTCTCCAGAGATATTCATGAGTCTCAAAATCTGAGTCTGAAGTCTTTGAGTTAATGTCCAATTTAAGTCTAAAGTCTGTGAGGGATGAATCAGAGTAAAGTCTGTGAGGGATGAGTCAGAGTAAAGTCTGTGAGGGATGAGTCAGAGTAAAGTCTGAAGTCTTTGAATTAGAGTCTAAGTCAAGTCTCAGGTCTTTGCTTCCAATTTAATATGTTTTGCAAGAGAGTTTTCTTTTTATTTGATCAATTTAACATTATCAGCAAAAAATAACAGTGCCAGTGATCTATTAGGTTGTTACGGTACATGTTGGAATGTTACTTTGTGCGCATTGTGGCACATCCAGTCTTCTGCCGGCTATTCCCAGGTCACTGCGGGCGTTTTACAATACCAAGAATGCAAAAGATCATACTTGTAGTCTTGGCAAGATTGGTCTTGCTAACTTGCCTCCCAAGAATGAACCTGAGGTGCAATGAATCATGGGATTGGTCTTGTTTGTGTGGCGGAGGGACTAGTTAAATGATCTGAGAGGATGGGAAAAAAATGGTCCTACAGAAATTTATAGCTTCTTATTAAATTATGAAAGATTCTTTATGTTCATAAGTCTTTATACAGGAGTCTGAAGTCAATTAGGAACAAGTTGCGAGTCAAGTCAGTAGTTTATTTATGTGTGACTCTGTAACTCCAGTAGAAGTCAATAACTAGAGGGTGGTGGTGGGCAATAAAAAAAACAAAAAAAACAACTAGAGTACCTGTTTCTCAGAGAAGGTAGTATGGCGATCAATCTGAAGCCAGCATGTCTGGTGGCAGGAGTCCAGGGTTAAGGCTAAGCACTGCCCCAGACCTTGTGTTTCCTGCCGATTCAAACCAGCAACCTTTTGATCACAAGCACAGAGGTCCTACCCATTTGCTACACACAGCCCACACAGGCCTGCTCCTTCAATGCAATAGACCAGCATCCAGAATTCCCCCTGCCTGGGCTAAACTCCTCATGACCCTGCCAGGATAATTGGCTGGAAGAAGGGAGGATTTATAGCTACATCTGCAATGATATGTGATCGATTATGGAGATGTTAGATTTGTGTTGGCAGGTAGGTTCGGTTTTTTATGCATGCAGAACTAAACCACACCCTTAATTCATCGGTCCTAAGGCGTGATAACTGCTACCAGGCGGCCGAGTGGGTTTGCACTTTGTACCAAGTGGCCGAGTGGGTTTGCACTTTGTACCTGTGCTTGGTAAGGTCCCGATTTGAATGCGGTGGTTAGCAATGTGATTTTACCATTGGGCCCTTGAACAAGCAACTCACATAAAAAACAAATGTATGCTACATTAAGAGTATACAAAAAAAATTAATAATTTGTAGCAGCTGAATCAACGTAATGAAATACACAAAATCTTGTTTTATAAAGTGCAACCATGGTGCTTTAGATAATGTATTCAGTACTCCAGTTTTTTTAATGTAAAACCACAGACTACCGCTGCTGCTACTAAGAATATTATTAAATAATTGTCTAATGTTATTTAATGTTGATACACATATATGACAGGGGGAGAGAGCACGCCAGCGAGTCTGTCTGCATTTATTACGGACAAATAAAGTAAAAATTTATTGCGAAGAAAAAGCCTTTTCCGCATCTTACGCTAAAAATTACTGATCAACGCAAATAAGACGATTGGTGACGAAAAACCCGTGAAAGGCAGGCGGCAAATTTTGTTTTAAAACGTGTCCGGTTGTTTCAGAATACTACAGTGATGAACTGTAAATAAGATAAATAACATAAGGCTGTTTAGTTTGTTTAATAAAAGGACAAGATATAAACCTGTTCTATCGGAAAGGTAGCCTTAAATGACTTCTGTTGCGATCTGGAGCTATATAGAAAATGAAATTAAATAAAATTAACTTGGGGCGCCCACCTAATAGAATGGTAGGGTAAACACGTTGTGGTATATGTAGCCGCATTTCTATCCCCATAATAGCTGATTGTGTTGACAACCACGACTTCCCCTGCGTTCATTTAAACACATGTGCGTGTGTGAAGGGACGGGGCGGGTAACGCGGCCGGCAGTAACGCCATTGGTTGCAGTTATTAGTTATCCAATCCGACGGCTCATTAATAAGAATATTCTCAGAGTTATGGTCTCGAAATAAAAAATCCCGAGTCCATGACAAGACAAATACGAGTCCCGAGTACAAATACGACTGATTCAAAGACAAGATCGAGACCTTCAAAAACTGGTCTTGAGTACTACAACATTTGATATTACTATAAATTTCTATCGTGAAGAAATGAAGCAGTGGTGTAGTGGTAACAAGAAATTTAAGGTGGGTAAACTATATATGCACAGCAGTAAAAACGGTGGGTAACTATATCATTAACATTAGTGATCTTAAAAAAGGTGAGTAAAAGCTGTTTTGTAAATTTAAAAGATGCGTAAATGGCGTTTATGTGCATTTACTTTTTTCTTTTATGGCGGTCGGCATCCAGCTTAATGGTACTTTACTGCCACCGCGGCTTTGGTTAGCTTACTGCTCCCAAATTAGGAGGTTGCCACTGTACTTATGTGTATAATAACGTAGACCCAACTAATCGATTATTAAATTAGTTGGCAACTATTTTAATAATCGATTTTAATCGATTAAATCGATTAGTTGTTGCAGCCCTAATTTAGTGTAAGTCTGGTTTTAGTAAACCTGTGTGGGTATCACATTATCTGTGTGCTTCTGAGCTTGAGTGACAGTTTCAGACTTACTGGTATGATTATTCTAGCAGTAGAAGAGAGTATTTAGAATAGAGTATTTTGACCAAGGTATAGCATTGATCTGTTGTTTTGGTTTCAGCTACCCTACCTTAAAAATGCTGGCTGCCCATCAACCAGATGTGCCCATTTATGTTGGAGACACATCTCGGCCCGTCTTCTGGTGCGTATAGAAAGGAGTCTCCACACTCCAGTTATTTGCTGACTCTTAGTTTTTGTTGTGTGTGACATGCATTTGTTTGTCCTCATGAACAGGTACCTTGACAAGAGCGGCGTGCAGCTGACCAACATCAATGTCGTCCCCTTTGGTGTCTGGAGAAACGTAAATACCTGGGGCATTTCCACATTTTTCTGCTGCTTCAACACTAATTTTAAGCCAAAAGAAGTCCTTTAAGGTCAATCTCTTGATTTCAAAAGTCAAGACAAAAATAATACTTAAATTTCCAAAACTACCTTGCACCATTTTTTTTTTGTTGTTTTTGAGATGAGACGTCAACAGCATTTTCAATGTGGGGGGGACACACTGGCATAAAACTAATATTTTTATGTTAAATGTGGGGAGCTCCAAACGAATAGTTATGAATGGCGGCGACGCCCATGGCCAATGACCTAAAGTCAGGCATCCTCATCATGTTACAGTATAGGGAACCAAAACTCACTCCATCCTCAAAATCCAGCGGAGCAGTTTCCTTAAATTCCCAAAATTCACAGAAAAGGTCACATTTTCTCAAAACCATGTCCCAGGGACTGTGCTGGTTTTGAAATTTGCTCTTGAAGTGACAAGTGGACTATATCCTGTTTTGCTTTATATTTTTATTATTGTATTTTGTTTAGATTGACGAGCACTTGCGATTCATGATTATGATGGACGGTGTGCACCCTGAAATGGACACCTGCATTATTGTGCAATACAAAGGTACTTACATAATAATCATTATAATATTCAATTAAAAACACGTCATTGTTACATCCCGCCCACCATGTCTGCCTGACTCTCCTGTCTACTCCCGGGCATCATCCTGATGAGCCACGCCTGTAGCTTGTTGTCCCACGTTAATCTTAAGTAACTGTTTGTTTGGTATCGCCAGTCCTGTTTTTAACGTCACTCCTGCTGTCTGCCCATGTCCTTCCCTGTACCAGTCCTCCCATTTTGACCCCTTGCACTCATACTTGTTTTCCAGCCCCTGTCCAGTTCTGTTGAGTTTTGCTTTAAATAAACCTTCCCTTTGTTTGCCCAAACGCCAACCTTTTAGTCCTTCGTCCTGCACATCAAGACATCAAGAATTATTCTATTTTCCAGAAAACAGACTTGGTCCATTATTACCTGATTAACTAGTTATTATAGGATTATGGATTGAAAGTTTAATTAAAATTTTATGGTTAAGATAATGTGTAAAATAAGCAATTTTACATTTAACATATACTGTACAGTATATGAGCATATATTTTCTCATCATGACATCAACATTTCTCATCAGGTCCATTTAGTCGGTAATATTGGGGTAGTTTACAGTAATGTGAGTATATGGTAGATTTGGACAAGATATCTTTAGATTACTCATGTGAGTGTCCTTGTGTCCTGTAATGGACTGGTAGCTTGTCCAGGGCGATCCCTGCTTGGGTCCTTGGCATTGGAATTTGCATGTGTTCTCCTCTTCAAAGTCAGAAATGTAATGAGCCAGACCTGTCAGATGATATCATTTCTCTAGGCTCTTTGCAGAAGTACGACTTGTTTGGCTCAAGAAGGTCAGCGTGGCCACCTTATTGGTTCTTGTTATGGAGAAGCGAGGCTGAGGCAGCAGAGGCTGTGTGAAGCACCATAAAATAAACTTGGGAATATGAAGCTGGGCTTCACAGTCTTTTATTTAATGGCTGCAGAGATGGTGCTGTGGAAGACAAGATGGAATTCAGGTGGGGTAGGGCGAGTTGTGGGATTGTTATTCTGTCCTAGGTCTTATGCAAGAAGATACTGACCTTGTGGACTTGTGAACGTCCACGTGTGCACCTGGAATGGTTAGAGAGGGTCAGATTAGTAAGAGCAAGAAAGACAATGCATCTGGCAGCTATAAAGGAAAAACCCTGGATTTGGATCGGGGAGGTTGCCTTGGTGACAGTAAACAGTAAAGAGGTATGAGAAACTGGGAGGGGAGAATCTTGGTTGAAGCTTGAGTAATGTTACTACAATCAATGTGTAACAGTGGGTCATTAAATATTAGATTAGGTGGTTATATACATATAGAGTAAACAAATGTAAGGGCTTATGAGAAGGAATGAGAAGATCACACACTAGACATGTTGTCCGATAACCAATCCTGTTAAAAAGGATCATATAAGGGAGTGTTGAAAGATTATATTCTCCTTAGAGTATATTTTTTTTCTTCAACAATCTGGCACCTGATGTGAGACAACTGAGTTTTTTGGGGGTTTTTTTTGGGGGGGCGGGGTACAACTTACTCATGGCTCATCCTGATGATTATGGTTGAAATTCAATAAATGGTGCTTCTGGAAAACATTAACTGAGGAACACGTACAATTATCAAAGCCATATTACTTGTTCTTTTACTTTACATGAATTATCTTGTTCTATATCACTGTGCATTGTATTTATCATTTTTAAGAAATAAAGGTGGAAGAGCATTTAATTTTGTTTTTATAATGTGGGATCTTGGGCCAAAATATATTTCAAATTTATGTAGACTTTTCTCTTGCTCTGTATACTTCTCAAAAAAACTGCAAAATTAATTAACAAGGACAGTACGGTAGTCTAGTGTCTCTGCTAAATTTCTTAGGTTAACAGCATTCTTCCGTATGATAGTTTCCCAAGCAAAAGTAGCTAAATCTGATTAATGCTTTCATTTATAGCCATTAATCCAGTTAATTTCACTTTAGGTCACATGATCCTGAACACAGTGGACTGCACACGGCCGAACGGGGGAAGGCTACCTGAGAATGTGGCTCTAATGATGAGTGACTTTGCCGGGGGGGCCTCAGGCTTCCCCATGAGCTTCACTGGAGGCAGATACACAGGTGGGGGCTGCTGTTATTTACCCAGGCCTCAAAACTTCACCAATATCCACCAATCCCTCTTATATATCCGCTTATCCCTCCGTTTCTCAGCCCAGTCCTTGGAGTCCCTCAGACAGTCCACATTTTTGCTCTCTCCCAGCTCCTAGCACAGCTGAACCAAACAATCAGGAATGCCGAATAGCTTTTACAGGAGTGTTGGGGGCTGGGAGGGAGCAAAAACGTGGATTGTCTGTGGGTTCCTCAGGACTGAACTGGGAAACACTGTCTTAGGCAATGCAGGGTCACAGTCAGCCTGAAGTCCATCCCAGGAAACACAGGGCACCAAGTAAGAAGCCTTGCACTAGGTGCCAGTCCAACACAGGGTACACACACAGTCACACACTAAAGGCAGCTTAAAGGCACCAATTCACCTAACTACATGTTTTTGGGGATAAATCAGAGTTCTCAAAGGAAACCTGTGAAAACATGGGAAGAATTTGCAAACTCCACACGCAGAACTGGGAGTGGAAGAAAGGTGCATTTAATAGTTCAGTGAACTATAGAGAGTAATCACAGAGTAATATACCTCCCCATATTTTGAAAAGTATCTATTCTTTACTAGTGAATGTGGAGTTTGCATGTTCTCCTGTGTTACGTGGCTGTCCTCTACACACCGTTAGGTGAATTGGTTTCTAAACTGACGGTGTGTCCCATTTTGGGTGTGACCTGTGCGTCTTGCCATGGGGTCTTGAATCCCAGCCCCCCGTGACCCTGACCTAGCTACACCTTTGGAAGATGAATCAATGTGACACGGTTTCTTTCTGGCCACAATTTCAGAATCATGGAAGGCCGAGTTCATCAGGAATGAAAGGAAGAAGCTCCTGAACTATAAGGCCCAGCTGGTGAAATCCTTGCAACCCAAGATCTACTGTCCTTTTGCAGGCTATTTTGTCGAAGCACATCCCTCAGACAGGTAACAACATACTGCTTGATGGTACCACTCGGGGCTAACAGTGGGCCACAGACATCAGGGGCTGGAAACGTCACATAAGAAAAAATCCAAAAGTCAACAAACTGAGCTGGATGCCCATGTGTGCATATGAATGAATCCCCCCGTCTCATGCCCATGTGTGCATATGAATGAATCCCCCCGTCTGCTGCCCATGTGTGCATATGAATGAATCCCCCCGTCTGCTGCCCATGTGTGCATATGAATGAATCCCCCTGTCTCATTCCCATCTCCCTGAAGATCCTGGGGAACTCCATGTCAAGTTAAAGTAGACCAGGGTGCTAACTAAGCATTTAACAATAAATTAGTTTGAAAAGAATTTATGATGATTTTATTTATGGACATAAAAAATGAACAGCGAAATAGCTCAAATTATCATTAATTATTATCATTAATTGAACCGAATTGTAAATTGGGTGAATTGCTACATGCCTAGTGCTGACCGTATGCAGAAAATAGAACATGAATGCTACTCCAATATCCTGTAGAAAGGCAGTTCGTCCTGCAAGAACCTCTTCTTGTTTCATGTAAATCTACCCCCAGCACATCAACCCCAACCACATCAATGATGACAGTCTTGTTCCTTGACAATTTAGCATTATATTGGGTCAGGATAAACCTCACTGCAGTATTCCAACTCACACCGTTGAATGTGTTTTGAGAAAGGCAAAAAAGTTATCAATATTAAAATATATATTTTATATATTATATAAATGACATGATACTCTTTATGTTTTTGTAATTCGCATTATATGGTACTTATTTAGCTATACATCCATTTACCCATCTTCCAAATGCTATTTTTAATGTTTAAAAAATCCTCATGTATATAATTACAATAGTAATGGCACTTTGTTTGTGAACCTGACCAAGTTAAGAGGTTGAAGGATGAGTGGAAGGATGGATGCAGGGAAATATGTTGCCTAAATTTAAGAAAGTCCATTTTAATGTAGCATATATCTTAGAATGCATATGTGGTATATTGTGTATTTTGCAATTTCTCATACGGATATTTTAATGCATGTCGAACAGAAGGCTGCGGCATACTCACTGAAATAATTTAAAAATGACTGTAGAACATGATACAATGCATCAAATTTGCATTTTGGTGATCTATTAAAGCATGTACTGTATAATGCTGTATATAAAGGGTATTCAGAAGATGTGTTAGCAGTCTGGTTCTGACCAAGCACAGGTACCTCAAGGAGACAAACATGAAAAATAACCCTGAAGAGCTCAATTCATTGATCAACAAGCTGAGTCCATCCACTCTTACCTGGACTCCAAAGCCAGGAGCAGTTCTGGACCTGGGCTTAGCACAGAAAAATCCCAGTGACAGGTGCGTGTTCTCTCTATGTTCTGAGGTTGACATCATGACTTACCATGTGACAAGCCTTGGAATCACAAGTCATCAGCAGTCATCTCATTTTGCATTTGTGTCATATCAACAAACACTGTTTGCTGTTGTTTTTTGTCATTATGACAGTAGCATGGCAATTACAGATCCTCCACCTGGTACGCAGCTCTATATGGACACATGGGACTTTGACCTGTATGTGAATAACCTCAATGCAGCCAACACTGAAGACATATTTAAGCATGACAGCTGGATCCAGTTTTACTACAGCTGGGCTGGGTTCCTGGACTACAATCTGGTTGCACGGGTGACTGCATTTGCATTGTCTGATCAGTTGATTTGCTTTGTTTGTTTTCCATGTTCATTATTTCCAGAATAGGCTCTGGACTCTATATAGTATAAAGCCGTATAGAACATAAATGAATGAATGAACAAATTATTTGATTAAGGATTATATGGTCATGTGGATTGTTTAGGATTTCAGGTTATGTGCTCTAAATATTAATAGACCTATTCAAGGATGGAGCAGTGACTTGCCGGTTAGCATTTTAGTCTCACAATTCCCAGCACACAGCTTCAATTCCTGCCCCCAGATCTGTTTGCGGAGTTTGCACCTGTTACTCTGTGCTTCATTAGATTATCCTTAGTGAGCGTTTGAGCATTGTGCCCTGTGAGGGATTGGCATTGTACCCTGTGCTTCACTAGATTGTCCTTAGTGAGCGTTTGAGCATTGTGCCCTGTGATGGACTGGCATTGTACTCTGTGCTTCACCAGGTTAGCTTTCAGGTTCACTGTGACCTGTTATCAGATAAACAGCATGATAGTATCAGGGTCTGTACCGTCCAACCCTACCCTTCGTGTCTCCTTCCCACCCTGTCTCATGTCCTTCAAGTCCCTAGTGTGTTTCCCCACCTCCCCAGACTGCTTCATAGTTCTATGGGCTGAGTGTGTGGCTGTAAATCCACTGGTCAGGAGTTCAAGGCCAGCCTTCTCACTTATTCGTATTTCTTGGGTTTTTTCCCCAGTGTTTCATTTCCATTTGTTTTTTTTCCATCTTAGTTTTCTTATTCTAGGTTTGCCCTGCTTCTATTCTGGTACGGCTTTGTCCCTGTGTTGTATCCCGAGTGTCTGGTGTATTTCATGGTTTTAGTGACCCCTGTGTTTCCTAGTTTCTGACTTAATTGCTCATTGTCCTGTGCTTTTATTGATTTTTTTATTCTCACCTCTTCTACATCATGTCTTATTAGCCTTGTGTCTGTACTTTAGTGCCAGCCCCTCTCCCCTCTTCAGTGAGTCATTGACTTTTGTGCTGTGTTACTGTGCTGTTGTCGAGCCTTGGCCCCGGTTCCCTTTATGTTAGCTTATTGATTTTCTTTTAATTTATGAGTTTAGTTCTGAACCCTCGTGGTCCCTTTTACTTTGTGGTTTCCGTTTGTGTTCCGTTCAATAAACCCCTTTAGTCTCTGAGCCGCAAATGGATTGTCACCCTCCTTTTCCCTGCCTGAACCGTCGCTGTTACAGGAAGATGGATAGAATAGCTAGATTCTCTCTGTTACCTAAATATATGCGAATCTGTTTTACATATGTGCACGTTGTTGGAAGTCAATGTAGCATTTTGTAATGTAGTTTGCAATTTATTTGTTGTACATCGAAATCCAGCAAAACAAAACCATTCTACTGTCATAATATTCAATTATACTGCTATAGTATAGCAGTGCAGTGTTTAAAAACGTATGTCGTCTGTTTCAGGTTATAGAAACGGACGAGGAATTTCAGCCACTTCCCGGTGGCTATGACTACCTCGTGGATTTCTTAGACCTTTCTTTCCCTAAGCAGAGACCAGAGAGAGAACATGCTTATCTGGAGGTGGGTTATGATGATGTTCACTACGAAAAAAAATCTGATTGTTTACTGCAGTGTTTCCCAACCTTTTTTCTGTCACGGCACACCTTTCATAAAGTAATTATTCCATGGCACACCATTGATTAACACATACAGACAGTCCCCAGGTTACAAACAAGTTCCGTTCCCTAAATCTGTCTTTAAGTTGAATTTATAGGTGAGTCAGAATAATAATTTACAGCACATAATAATAATTATTATTAGCTACATACGTTACTGTACTGTACATTGAGCCGACGGACCGGTGAAGCCCTGCAATGCTTTCTCGAGTTGTGCGTGCCTTCATCATTATGAACCATTGTATTGTATTTAACCTGGATTTATAATATCATAATATCTGAAGTCCGTTAGTAAGTATGAGTAAGTCAGATGTTCTTAACCCAAGGACTGCCTGTACTATTAACTGGGTCTTACCAATAACACAAAGCACATTTGTCTTAACCTGTTAGTTAATTATAAAGTATGTTTTCTGAAAAAAAAAATTCCGCAATCTTGTCTTTTTATTACATGACAGTTTGCAAATATGTTGAAAATATGTAAACAAACGAGTGTCAATTGTAGGGCGGCCTTATTTTCAGCTACATTTGCATTGTGACGTGACAAGTGTGCTTAAAGCCTATTGGACAATTAAATTAATAAAAATTTGCTTATGTACAAAGCTTTTTCTTCCGCTTAAGGTACCATCAGAATTGAACTATTAATACATAAACTTACTTTATCTTATTTCTGTTAGCATTCATCTGTTAGCATGATCCCAAATATTTTGTTTCGATATCGAAATCATTTTTCCTCAAATGTTTTATTTTTCAACCAAGGCCCCTCCTGGGCTCCAGGCATAAATAATATCCGGATCATATGCAGGCAGGTCACTTAAAATAAAATCTAAGCATATGCATCACAAAAGCAGGTTGGGAATCATTTTGTCTTTATTAATGGTAGCGGTCTGAGTCACAGTCAGGTTGAATTAATTACCGTCTTCAGGTGTTTTGTTTCATTATTCATTCTGGTGATTCCACTTTTGCTCTATATATGATCATGAATCATGTCAGTTTACATTCCAGAAGTGGACTAGCCATGACACCTTTTTCAACTGATCATTGTGCCATAATGTACGTAGCTTGACATCCAACTATCCAGAAGTATTAAATACTAAATCACTTTGACTTTGAAAGGTGTATATCACCAAAGTTAGCGGATAAGATGGGGTGATTTCTACCTGAGCATATAAGAGCAAATTTCAAAAGGAGTATCTTATGGCCGTCAGGTGAGAAACCGGGTTGGAGTTATTCGCCATGTAGTGAGGAACGGCCTCCTCTGGGATGATCTTTACATCGGCTTCCAGAACAGGATCAGCAGAGAGCCAGACATATACCACCACCGGTGAGAACCCCCCCTCCCCACACACAATTTTCCATACTCACTCTACATTTCATCCGAGTTACCTGAGCACAAGATTAGCAAGAAGTGATTCATACATTCATTGATTCATGTAATTGAGTTTCATGACGATAAATAAATCACAATATTTCTTTACAAATTTCGGTTTCTAAAAAAAAAAAAAAAAAAAACTTTGTTGAGTCTTCATCAGCCCCTCCCTCCTCCCAGTTTCTGGAATCATTTTCAGACCCAGCTACCTACAGTTGGACCGGACTGGGACTCTTTTCTGCAGAAAGTGAAAATGGAAGAGTCAGAAGAGGCAGGAGTAAACAACTGCAAGTTGTTTTAGAGAACCATCATTGAGTCTTCATAGCGAGCAAGACAAAGATACTGTTAAGAGAAGGTTAATGTGCAGCTATATCTGTGTGTGAGGCTACATGTTAAAAATGAAGAACCATTTTGCTTCTATAATCATGCGGTAGTGAAGGAGGGTCCCTCTGCTTTCATTTGGGGGTCCCTAATTTAAGAATTAATGAAGAATTCACTAGAAGACCTACACTTTAGAATGAATGATTTTTTTTTACTAGTGCTTAGTGATTTACTTTGGACAAGATCATTTTAGTACAGTGGAAACCACTTATAGCGATCATGGTTATAGTGATCAGCTGCTTATATGGATCAAAAGCCTGAGACGGCATCAATGCTATTCAAATAATTTGCTTATAGTAATCAAGAAGTCTGCTTACAGTGTTCATTTTTTGTCTGAAAAAAATCTAAAATTATGATACAGTAATGCAGAACTCATGACAGGAAAAAAGTCTCTTTTTTTGTAGATGAAGTTCGATTTCAAATTCTGCTACCTCTTCGGCATTTATAGTCTATGGTTTATTTTCTGTTCTGTTTAAAAATTGAAAAATGTGCAGAAAGACATGGCCTGTATCTGCACTGCTGATGCACAGTGTTTCACAAACTCCTCAATACTTTTATGTTTTAGGCTATAAACTAATAATGATTTGAATTACAGTAAGTTATATTTTGTAGACATTACTGTACTGTATTAATGTATTTGAATTATGCACAGTTCAGTAGTTTAATTTGAAGAGTACTGTAATTTGAAAAGCATTCAAAACAGCTGTACTATACTTTAAAAGAGTCAATAAAATTTGGTAACTAGTGACAGTGTCAGCTCCATTACTCTAAATTAATGTAATAAATATACAAATATCTATCAGATGGTAATCTGCCTGATACATAAAGAAATAGAAAAAATTGGTTATAATGATTATCCGCTTGTACTGATGAATTTCACCCGGACAGATGTGATCACTGTAAGCGGATTCCACTGTATTCATTTGATTTATTTCAGAGTCTGATTTATGTATAGCTAACAAGTGTTATAATCACTGGCAGTATCATTTTAGATAGAGGGACTTTTACCAATGCCCAAGAGCAGCTTCCACGTATCCCATCATGCTCTAGACTGGGAGACACATGCACGTATAAACAGTTGGTGTTGAGGGTCGTGCTGAAGGCTGATCAGATTACTCTCCCGAACACGGGCACATTTCCATAACCTGCTGAACGGTTTTGGGATTACAAGCGATCAATCTAGGGATTTTACTTTATCCCACTGTGATTTATTTGTGATTTATAAATGCTTCTCTGAATGAACAATTTGTCATGATGTATATAATTCATTGTAAACTTAATTATTCCTCAAAATGGAATTTTCTTGGTCCAATCAGAGATCTTAATTAAAATGTAACACTGACAAAAATGTCGATTTTAATTCTTGTTCTTGCTTGTTATTTTGTATCAGGATGAATGTAGCTATTCTGTTATAGCTATCCAGTCCCCTCCATGCCTTATACCTTGCTCTGCCTGGGACATGAACCAGGACCCCCAGACCTTACAACAAAAAACAGTAGAAAGATGAATGGAATTATCTATCCAAGTAAAAATTAGGGAAATCATGTTGGACAGTCATAAAGATATTTTTGAAATTATAGGTGTCCTAATTAACTGCAATTAACTGCTAATGACAAAAGGCACATACACTCACCTAAAGGATTATTAGGAACACCATACTAATACGGTGTTTGACCCCCTTTCACCTTCAGAACTGCCTTAATTCTACGTGGCATTGATTCAACAAGGTGCTGAAAGCATTCTTTAGAAATGTTGACCCATATTGATAGGATAGCATCTTGCAGTTGATGGAGATTTGTGGGATGCACATCCAGGGCACGAAGCTCCCATTCCACCACATCCCAAAGATGCTCTATTGGGTTGAGATCTGGTGACCGTGGGGGCCATTGTAGTACAGTGAACTCATTGTCATGTTCAAGAAACCAATTTGAAATGATTCGAGCTTTGTGACATGGTGCATTATCCTGCTGGAAGTAGCCATCAGAGGATGGGTACATGGTGGTCATAAAGGGATGGACATGGTCAGAAACAATGCTCAGGTAGGCCGTGGCATTTAAACGATGCCCAATTGGCACTAAGGGGCCTAAAGTGTGCCAAGAAAACATCCCCCACACCATTACACCACCACCACCAGCCTGCACAGTGGTAAAAAGGCATGATGGATCCATGTTCTCATTCTGTTTACGCCAAATTCTGACTCTACCATTTGAATGTCTCAACAGAAATCGAGACTCATCAGACCAGGCAACATTTTTCCAGTCTTCAACTGTCCAATTTTGGTGAGCTCGTGCAAATTGTAGCCTCTTTTTCCTATTTGTAGTGGAGATGAGTGGTACCCGGTGGGGTCTTCTGCTGTTGTAGCCCATCTGCCTCAAGGTTATGCGTGTTGTGGCTTCACAAATGCTTTGCTGCATACCTCGGTTGTAACGAGTGGTTATTTCAGTCAAAGTTGCTCTTCTATCAGCTTGAATCAGTCGGCCCATTCTCCTCTGACCTCTAGCATCAACAAGGCATTTTCGCCCACAGGACTGCCGCATACTGGATGTTTTTCCCTTTGCACACCATTCTTTGTAAACCCTAGAAATGGTTGTGCGTGAAAATCCCAGTAACTGAGCAGATTGTGAAATACTCAGACCGGCCCGTCTGGCACCAACAACCATGCCACGCTCAAAATTGTTTAAATCACCTTTCTTTCCCATTCTGACATTCAGTTTGGAGTTCAGGAGATTGTCTTGACCAGGACCACACCCCTAAATGCATTGAAGCAACTGCCATGTGATTGGTTGATTAGATAATTGCATTAATGAGAAATTGAACAGGTGTAATAATCCTTTAGGTGAGTGTATATACAAAGAACGTGTTTCATCTGTATAGTTTTTCCAGAATTTGTCTTGCTGTACATTTAAAAATGAATTAACAGCATAAGTGACTTTGCTCAGCTGTGTGTTTTCACATGAACACACATTTCCCAGATGCTCCTTGTGGCAAATATTTTACTAAACAAACCATAAATAGGAGCAGAATGGCTGTCAACAAAGGAGAGACCCTAGTGACTTTACAACACTCATAAAGGATATGGACTGAACTGAGTGAACGACATTGAGGATAAATCTATGAATGATTAGCAAATCCATCCATTTTCTGAAACTGCTTAATCACAACTGTTGTTGCAGGGCACTGGAACCTTTCCCAGGAACAATGGGTGCAGGCAGGAACCAACCCTGGGCAGTTGCCAACACACACTCACAGGACCAAATATTGACTCACCAATCGACCTGTCCTGCATACTTTTAGACCAGGGTTATTCAACTCACGGTCCTCGAGGTCC